CTTATGAAGACATACCAGATGCTGAATAGCTCCAATGTGAGCTTGGCTCTCTAGTGAACTTTCTAAAAGTTTGTGTGTAGTAAAAGACTGATTTCGCTCGCATGCAAGCTAATAAGCAGTAATACTGTTCTTCTTAATATCTTTAAGTATAACACATTCCTTTAAAACTTCAAAATTTTGAATTCATTGATTATTCTGTACAAAATAATCATACAGTAATATGGTAATGTTAGTCATTTCAAAGTATTAGGATTGAATCTAAGCTTATGCTTCAATCTCATCATAAGTCTAGCAATGATAATTTCTTTTTACTAATGCTCACTTTCCAGAGTCATAAATATTTCTTGATACTGAGATTAAATCTTGAGTATGACTACGTCATTAAGATGAAAACTGCGATGGAAATTCTGCAAGGTCCATATTCTATTGAGAGTATTTCTGAACCAGAGTATATGCAGCAATTCCGAGTAAGTCTAAATTTTTTACTAATTATTTCTAAAACCAAACCTAATTATAATCTGCATGAGACAATATACAAGTTGATGAAGATGGACATTTCATCGATTTAGTACTCCAAAAATATTTCTTTGAGCTCTTTTTTTTTCATGAAATATAAAACTTTTGAGGTTTTGTTAATATATATATAAAAGAATAGATGTCAATCGGTGCCTCTTTTACTCTTCATTTCGCAGAACTCTAATAACGTTAAACATACATCCGGCAAGACTATAGCAAACTAGACTTAGTGGCCCGTAGTGAATTGGAATCTAAAGCCCAAATTTTCGGCGTCTAAACAAGATCTCATTATTAGATTAATACTATTTGGACTACCGTTTACTAAATGAAAGATAAGTAGTTTGGCTATGGATAATAGTGGTACATTTTACGATCCTCATTTGAAGCAAAGAGTTATTTCTTTATACTTGTGAAGCTTCGATACAGATCTCAACCATGGGAGAAAGATTTGGCATTAGGGTCGTAAGAATAAAAAGAAGGTTCAGATGACTTTTAGCTATTCCTTTTGTCAAAAATCTACTTCTATGTAAAGTGGTATTATCATAGATAATATAATTTCTGCCAGCAAGTTGTCCATCATTTCCTTTTCGTGTTTATCACCTTTTGTGGATGATTTGACAAATAGAGTCGTTAAACACATTTGAACCAAATTCAAAGTTCTTATCGTTAAATTAACCTGTTTAAAATAGAGACCGTGCCAGTGTGTACCGATCAAGATGTTCAGTTTTCAGCTGTCTCTAGTGTTCCAAGATGCTCAAAACTAAAAGTTTCAGTAAGATCTCTTGTTCTGTTCTCTTAATGGTCAAATGAAACTTTTCGAGTAGAATCATTAAAAGATTAACTCTATATTTTTGAAAAAAGTTTGAAAAATATATCAAGGTGAGAATTTCGGATCCATTTTCCTTATATATGGCATTGCTGCTAACATAAATTTCTCCCTTGACATTTTTTTACAAAGTCTTTTAAATATGAAACATACGTATATATCTAATGCATCTCACCATCTCTTTCCTTTCATCAAAAAAATAAAATTAAAGAATCTGCTGAAACTTTGAGCTTTAATCATGCTATGTATACTGCTGACATCGTAAAACTATAATATCATGGTCGGCACACAGCAACAGTAGCTAATGTTTTAAATTTATAAGTTTGGTAGTGAGACCTTCACTCTGAACCCAACGTGTTTCATTTCCTTAACTGATAATATAAGTGTCTCTGCTGAGGGTGATAGTTTGTGTCACATGCACTTTTTGAAATTGTTCATCGTGTTCATAAAGAAAAAATTTTAAGTTTTGCATATTGAGTTCCATATGTAGACAACTTTTTTTTACAAAACCGAAACGTGTTAAGTTACTTCGTTGAAAGTTTGACATTCATGATCAGCTTTTCAATCACACTCCTTTGGAACACCACTGACGGTTTATCACTCTTGATTTTATGTTTATTTTCTAAAAAGATGAGTTATAATCTACGATTCAGTTGAGTTACATTTAGCTGATTACAATGAATCATTCAACCTATAGCAGAAGAATTCTTGATGAAAACTATCAAACAAAACATTTTATTATACAGAATTATTTCTGTCTTAAACTTTATGGTCTTTCTAATTAAACTGTCATGTATTGCAATGCAATGTTTACCCAATCTTAGTTGAGTATTCTCAATAACCTTTATAAAAAAAAGTACTCCTTCTTTGCTGAAAAGGTTCTTTCTCTTGCAGAAAACTTAGAGATATAACGGTAACAGTACAATAATATGAAAGTCGGTCAATACAAATTCCATTGAATCTCCATAGTTCACTGATGTATTATTGGTGTAACATGCGTCATTATAGGGCTAAAGGATTCTTAAAAGTTTCTAAAGATTTCCAAAGATTTCTAAAGATTTCCAAAGATTTCTAAAGATTTCCAAAGATTTCTAAAGATTTCCAAAGATTTCTAAAGATTTCTAAAGATTTCCAAAGATTTCTAAAGATTTCTAAAGATTTCTAAAGATTTCCAGAGATTTCGGGGGTTAAAATCTGCTTTTTCCCCCTTGTGATACCTCTTCTCTTTCTCTACAAAATGATATAATTTTATCAATACCTTCATATGAGTTTGAAATAGATATTCTTGATGATATCAATTGAATGCAATCGTATTTGATGTTAAGAGGACCCCCCCCCCTTTCCGAGGTTTCTCGAGAACGGCTCGGTGAAATTTTCTGAAACTTCCAGGGTAGATAGATCTCGATGAGTAGAGCAAAAGTTGTCATAGGCTCAGAATTCGAAGATGCTGCCTTCCCAGAGATATTTGCGATCCAAGGGCGAAAAATGACCTGAAGTTTTCCCCCCGCAAAACTCTTATACTGCATTGTTTAGGGCTGAAATTTTTTCTGCAGAAACTAGGAACAAATTGGGGTGGGTGTTTTTTTTTATTCGAAAAATATCGTTCCTCAGGGGTCAGGAGAACTAAATTACTGACGGCACTATCAAAAAATGTGTTTGTTTTCGTTTTTTTCTTATAGTGCCAATTTTGTGGTACCTAGTAAATTCCTTAAGAAGAATATTTTCAAGAGAAAAAAAAAATACCCACCCCAAATTATTCGAAGTATTCACAGTAAAAATTTCAGGTCGATTGATTGCGGTGCGAGAGGAGAAAAGGGGGGAAAACTTCATTTTTGTGTTGAAAAAACTCATCTTGAGAAAAACGCAAAGAAATTTCTGTTTTTTGGTTTTTTCAGCATATTTTTTGATTTTTTTCGAAGTTTTTTATATATAAGATGTGGGTTTTCAGTTCTCAAAGTGTACTCAATGGATAGAGTGCATTTAAATCTATATACTAATCACAAAAAATGAAAAACAAAAAGTGTGAAAATTTTGAGTCGGGAAACGAGGGTTCCCTTAAGTTAGATGCAGGCTTCGTAGTCGTCCTATATTTCCTATAATTCCTATATATCTGAAAAAAATGACGAAATTTCAATAAAAATTAATTTTGAACGCTATATTCATGATTTAGAGAAGTACAAATGCATATATACAGTGCTGGCCAAAATTATCCCCGCATCAGATCTCATCCACTACAAGTGCTGTTGCTCTGAAAACTAGATTCTCTATATAGATCTCGAATAATGCAGGTTAGCGACGAAACTCATGCTTCCATATCCTCAGTCACTAGAGAGTTACGATGCATGCGGTTCATTTCCATTGTGGACGTCATGTCTCCAGAACAATAAATCCTTATGAGCTGCGAGACACGTTATTTTGTAGCTCTGCACACTGGCTATTTATAGTAAAAATTTTATCAAAATTCATTGAGTTTTTTTGAAGCTAGGTTCATTTTACTGTAAGGATGGGTATGCTCAGAAGCCGTCAAATCTCATTGTATAACCCATAATTCAGCATGGCTTCAACAGATCGACTACAAACGTACAGAAAAGATAGGTTCACAAACCCTTATTGCTCTCCAAAATTGTGAAACTTCTATCACATACTATAGAGGGTGTGGGTGTGGGTGTAGGTGTGGGTGTGGGTGGGTGGGTGTGGGTGTAGGTGTGGGTGGGTGGGTGTGGGTGTGGGTGGGTGTAGGTGTGGATGGGGTGTGGGTACGAATGCCTTCTTCTACACATCCACCCACACCCACACACCACACCCACCACCCACACCACACCCACACCAATCCTCACCCACACCCACACCCATCCACACCCACACACCCACACCCTCAACTCGCTGAAAAGACTGGAGATAATGCTAGAACTATAATCGAGAGCGAAAAATTCGATGCATCATTATATCCCGATGTTGCCTACGCGCTACATAATCAATCTGAACGACCCTTTAGTGAAATATTCATACGAGAAGGAGCGTTTGCATGTGCATCACGTGTCATGATTGTGTGACTACACGGCCGTTGTTCTCATGCTGCTCATCCAGAACAAGGACTGAGTCCAGTACATGCTATGTGTCACTTATTAGAAGAACTTGAACAGTTGCCACAACGCTTGCCCGCACATCTGAAGACCTTCGACTGGTGACAACAGTGCATGCGTGTCCCGGTGAGGTAGCGTTTGGCACAACACCAGGTGAAGCAATGATAATGGCTACATTACGACCGGCTACCGATGCGCTAATGTTATCACTAGTAGATGCTGCGTATGAATTAGTTGAACGAGTAACTCAAGAGACCGGACCTACTTATGAAATTGGAAAAACGTTAACATTACTGCAAGCACCCAACCGTTGGTCAGAGGATTTCGATGTTTATTCTGGTGTATGTCGTTGTACTATGTTCATCTTGGGTACGGGTGAAACAGCACATGCTCTGCATGATTCAGCCTATGACTTTCCCGATGCACTTATTGAGCATGGAATAGAAATGTTCTGGACATTATTGCATAAGCAATTGCTGTTTGACGATTGAGTTTGAAATTGTCGATTTCAATGACTAAGAACGAGACGAATATGACCCTTCTCACTAATCCTTTATTCATCTTCTAATTTTTTTTTTCATACAACCATAATTACTTTCCGCTATACTTTTTTACTTTCTGCTGCTTGTGAAATCAAATTTTCCTGTCTATGTGTGTTCTTACTATACTACTATAAATAGAGGTATGTAAACACGATAGAAATAGTGATAAAATGAGCGAATAATGCAAATAGGGAAATGACCAAGTAACTAAATAGCTGAGTATTGACGACATCGAAATTCAAAGAAAGACCATCATGGAGACACAACAGTGATATGATTGGGGTAAGAGTGTATTTGTTTGTCTGTTCTGCTACTACTCATATCCACACTCACACCCTAATTTCAGCAACAACTGTGGATGAGGATGGATATGATTGTCATTATCAGTACTTTTTCTTTCCACTCATACCATCAAGAACAATGTAGTTTTCATTCGACATTAGTTGCATCAATGCAGCAACATGTTTGTTTCTATGATTCTTTCATAGATAAAATGAAATACTTCTGTTTATCTTCTCTTACAAAACCCACTATTCTTGATCTCTTAAAACTAATGTAAAAGCTGACATCAATTGCTAGTCTTGTTGATTTTGACTTAATTATGCATCATCGATATTTTTTTATTATTAAAAAGACAAAATCCAAATGATTATGAACAACTGTAAAGTTATAAAAAATAGTTTTCAAGTCATTGATGGCTAAGAATGTTGTATCACATTTATATTTTCTAGTTGGCCCATTAATAATCATGTCAATTATGCATTCATGCTAATCGGTATCATTTGGATGAGTTTCTTGAATGAACCATTAGCCTATCTCAGTCATTGCTTAGTCTATTAATCGAGATATCCTTCGTTATTATTGATTCATCAAATCTCTTTACCGTCGATGTTTGAATCTAATACAGTAAAAAGTTCGATTGAGATACTCGACTTAATAATTTTCTTTTTTGAACAAAAAAATAAACTCATAAGACAATAAAAGTTCAAAAGCGATTTGTGTTTGTTATTGGTCTGACTCGATTGTTATTGCTTATTAGAAAGCCAGGTGCTAAATTAAAACATTTGGCAACACTTTGTCGAAGATTTGATGTAATACGGAAGAGAACGATAATCACACATCCTAATGCTAGATTTCCAATCATGAGTATGACCCGTATACAATTATGAGGTAGAATATCAGAACGAATTGTGCTCACTATCATAACGAACAATGCCGGAATGCCGATGATAGCCAATTGGAAATTTATCAATACAATGCGATGCACCATTATCACGTCTCGATGCATTTTCAACTGGTGATTGCCATTAATTCTCGATGAAACTTGACGTACATATCTCACTAAAAGGCGATATATGATGGCAAGACCAATATCTGATAAAATATATGTGATTGTACCTGCATAAAGTAAAAGATCCAATCTTGATAATGAAATAAAACATAAATTGTCGATCGTCATTTTCACCATGTTACCTGTTAGAAAAATAGGCGGAGTAAAAGTAAAATCAAATATCCATTGAATAAGAACGATGCCCATTTTTCGAGTTTGACTATCAAGAAAATTGATTCTTCTAATTTTTAAATATTTTTCTAATGCTTGTAGAATAAATGAATGATGAACACAAGCAATGCTAAAATGATGAATATAGGCACGTAATGGACAAAGAGAATCAATTTTTGGTACTGATTGTTGATCAAAACTTAACATGTAGACAGCAATCGCTAGATGATCAGACGAATATATTAAAATGGCTAGAATAGTGTTGCAAACTAATAGAGTAGAAAAGTTAAAACATAATCTTCTATAAATAATAACCATCGTCAGAGAACCAAAGGCTAGTAGACAAGTGATACAACAAACGACTATATATATTCGATTGATAATTGAAGAAAAATCCATCTTGTTACAGACTCAAACTTTGACAGTTTTGATTAAGATTGAATCAAGAAAATTCAACTATGTTTAACCGAAGACGCTTATTCGAAGCCAATATATTGTCTGGATGAGTAGAATCAGAAAAAAAAGATGAAGATTCATAATAATTGTGTACTTTATTTTTGAATCTATAGAAAAAATGAGTAATAGTTGCTGGTGTCAGAAAAAATAAAATAGAATGACAATATTCTTCTCACAAGAGAATGATTCGCTCTTTGTAATTAGAAAAAATTATGACACACTTTGCACTTTACAAATGAATGGTCCATTTATTTCATTTTAAATCAAAGATAATATCTCCTTTCAACATGAATACAGTTGATATATCATAATATCAAGAAAAAATAAAAAGGAAATTAATGACAACATAACATATAACGAGAATCTGTTAAAACATCTTTTTTCAGTTGTCTTGTTTCTTGGACTTCTTTTCTTTTTTTTTGTCTTTGACGACGTTCAGGACAGATGATTCAAAACATCGATGTTTTATTTACCTTTATATTAGAGTCTTCTTATAGAATCTTCAATATTCTTTCTTACAACAAAATTCATTTATTCGAATTCTTGAAGTGAATTTCTCAGTTTATGTAATTAGAGAAATGTTGAATATCGTTTTTTATACTTCAATGAAATC